CGCCAACTGGATGCCTTCACTCAACTGGCCTTTCATTTCCCACCACCTCAAACTCAAAGCTCAGGGATGGCAGTTCGCGAAACACAGAGCCCACTTCTACTCCAGATTAGCCACCCACAAACGACTTTTCCGACGCCTTCGACAACGCCAGTACACCCTCAGAGAACCACACCTCTACACTTCCACTAAGCATCACGCCCTCCAACTTCTTCGCAACCTTACCAAACACACCGCAGCCTCTTTTGAGGCAGCAAAACAGCTAAGAAGCGGCCGCCACACGGACCTCGAAGTCTATGCAATCCGGCGTATGGCCGCAAACTTAGAAGAACCTGGCCGCAGCCGAGCTCTTCACATCCTCAACAAAGCCTTGATCTACCGCAACCTCACGCCACCAAAACCAAACATCCCATTGACAGTGCCCTTCTTGGCCCATGACGACTTTACCAAGCACTGCCAACAATGGCTCCGTACTACCATCCAGCAGCACAAGCATTTCACCATTCCCCTCCACCTCCCCTCCCACAGACTGAGGGAAGCCGCCCACAAAACCCTCCGCTCCCACTTGCACAACCATCGCACATGGGAGGACACCCTCCACTCCCCGCCAGATCCAGCAGACCTCCCCTGTGCATGCGATCACCTTCGCACCCTCCTGCAGGATCCCGATACCCCCACCATCAACGGCCACTACATCCTCACACTGGACAAACTCCAACTCCCTACACACCTCGGCATTTTTCTCAACGCCAATATGAACAGCACCTATTACCCAAGCAAAGCTCGTTACTTCCTCATTTTCAAGACAGCCTACACCAAATGGCTCAAACTACAAGGGCTTCCACCATCCCTAGTTCAACACCTACAGCCTTTCCTTGAGCACCAATGGCACCTTCACACCACACACCTCAAGCAGCAACCCCGTTTCACGGCCCGCCTGCTTCGTCAACTCCAAGAACATTTGGGTAAACACACATTACTCCACCATGCCGATCATGAGCTCCAACAACTTCGGCTGTTTTGCCCTCGCCAATACTTCGCTGGCGCCTTGAACACCTGGCAATCCCCCGAACTTTTCGAACCACTTCCCTACATCACTGCCGCCAACATCCATGACCACCTGGCCGCCACCATCCCCCCCATCCTGCGCACCCGCTACAAGTGGGGCTTCCGAAAAGACTTCAACATCCCCTACGGGGTTGTCCACCTTAAAGAGAAGAAGCACTGGCAAAAAGGCCGCACAATTATATCTTACTTCCAATCACTAAGCGGCAACTTGCTGCGCATCACCAGCCGTGCCCTTGACATTATCCTCCAACACCTCTACCCTCAGCATCCAGGCCAAATGTCCATTCCTCAGCTTTGGCATCACTTTCACAGTTACCTCACCCAAACCCCACCCGACATCTCACTACACGCCACCAACGATGACCTGGTCGGCTTTTTCAACTCCGTCCCCCAGCACCGACTCATCGATGCAGTCCACTCCCTTGTTCTCCACTGGCAACAACAGCAATCCACACACACCTTAACGGTGGATGTCCAGGCTACCGGCAATCCTTTCCACCACTCCCACATTGGCAGACACCATCGCAAACACCCTACCCAACGCACCATCCAGACTTCCGACATCACCACCATTGTGGCTTTTGCCCTCGACACATGCATTTTCCGGGCTTGCAACAACACTTACAAACAAATCCGAGGGGCCGGGATTGGACCCCAGCTCTCTCCAGCCCTATGCAACGTTGCTATCACCCTCATTGAGCACTCCTGGCATCAGATACACAACAACCTCCTTCAACACACAGACCTCCACTTTACTTACTATCGCTATGTTGACAACCGTTTCATTGTCCACAACGAACATTTCCTTCAGCACCCGGCCATCCAAACCCTTATCCACCACAATTTCTTTGGCGACCCTGTGGAACTCGAACCGGTGGAAGATTTTCATCTCCTCGGTTTCAACATCGACCTCCCACAACGCACTATCACCTACATGCAACCTTCTCAACCCTGGAAAATCCGGGATTCCACAACCGCCGGGAGCCAGCGCTTGGCTCTATCAGGCCTCCAATCACGACTCCACACCATTCGAAAATACACATTTCCACCCTCCAGCGCTGACGCTGCTGCGGCTGAACTCGTGAACCTATATG